AGCTATAGACTGTTGATTTAACTGTATTTACCAGTCATGTCTGACTAGAGCTCTAGACTGTTGATTTGACTGTATTTACCAGTCATATCTAACTAGAGCTATAGACTGTTGATTTAACTGTATTTACCGGTCATATCTAACTAGAGCTCTAGACTGTTGATTTGGCTGTATTTACCAGTGATGTCATGCTAGAGCTCTAGACAGTTGATTTGACTGTATTTACCAGTCATGTCTGACTAGAGCTCTAGACTGTTGATTTGGCTGTATTTACCAGTCATGTCTGACTAGAGCTATAGACTGTTGATTTGACTGTATTTACCAGTCATGTCTGACTAGAGCTATAGATTGCTAATTTGACTGCATTTACCAGTCATGTCTAACTAGAGCTCTAGACTGTAGATTGGACTGTATTTACCAGTCATGTCTGACTAGAGCTCTAGACTGTTGATTTGACTGTATTTACCAGTCATGTCTGACTAGAGCTCTAGACTGTTGATTTGACTGTATTTACCAGTCATGTCTTACTAGAGCTCTAGACTGTTGATTTGACTGTATTTACCAGTCATGTCTGACTAGAGCTCTAGACTGTTGATTTGACTGTATTTACCAGTCATGTCTTACTAGAGCTCTAGACTGTTGATTTGACTGTATTTACCAGTCATGTCTGACTAGAGCTCTAGACTGTTGATTTGACTGTATTTACCAGCCATGTCTGACTAGAAATTTCGACTGTTGATTTGGCTGTATTTACCAGTCATGTCTTACTAGAGCTCTAGATTGTTGATTTGACTGTATTTACCAGTCATGTCTGACTAGAGCTCTAGACTGTTGATTTGACTGTAATTACCAGTCATGTCTGACTAGAACTCTAGACTGTTGATTGGACTGTATTTACCAGTCATGTCTGACTAGAGCTCTGGACTGTTGATTTGACTGTATTTACCAGTCATGTCTTACTAGAGCTCTAGACTGTTGATTTGACTGTATTTACAAGTCCTGTCTGACTAGAGCTCTAGACGGTAGATTTGACTGTATTTACAAGTCCTGTCTTACTAGAGCTCTAGACTGTTAATTTGACTGTATTTACAAGTCCTGTCTGACTAGAGCTCTAGACGGTAGATTTAACTGTATTTACCTGCCATGTCCGAATGTCTGAGCTCTAAAAAGTAGATTAACCAGTCATGTGTGAATAAAAAATAGCCCTCCCTCCCCCCTCCAATCCCCGATCATTACTTCTACTATCTAGTGCGATATTTCCATAAAGCCAGTAGCCAGTAGGACTAACGATGTGCTAATCAATTTGGATACCACTTTAAAATTAATGAGTCAGCTCTGTTAAGCGTAATTATACAAGCCAAAGCTAGCAATATCACTTCCTATCCCTATGCCCTATCAGCGACACGAAAAAAACTCAGAGTCCGAAACCCGCAAAATTTACGCTTCTTACCTTACTCTAATGCTACGAGCTAGCGTTGTACAAAATGTAAACATTGGCTTTCGACTTCAAAATGTCGACTGAAAGTTAAAAGTGATTGCCATGGTTAGTTCTCAATGTCACTCAAAAATATCAAAATTACCTGAAAAATATTCGCTTCCACGTCAAAATTTATTCCAATTAATTTTCAGCGATGTTGAATAAGTCAAATGGCCCGGTTGAATACGGCCATAAACAAAAGTTGTGACAGTTAAAGGCAGATTTTTTGGGCCGTGTGCAATTTCTCCATGTGAAGATAAAAATGGCGGCCAGTCTATCGTTCGAACGTTGAACAAAGCTGTTGTCTCGAGTACCCAGCCTTAAATATCTGGGTTGTTTTATATAGACCGTCATGACGACAGAGACTATAAATATCAACCTGCGTCATGTAAAAAATCGTCTGGAACATTCTGCCTATTAAGTATTCTATTGTCCAGTTTTGACCTACATTTTTAATAAACACCCCCCCCCCCCCACTACCTGATATATATCAATTATAACAAATTCATATTTATATGTCCTTGGAACGGGAAAATAGTTTTAAGAAAATTCAAATGGAATTTATATGAAATGAGAACTTTTCAGCTCCTGCCAGATTGGGCTAATAAAGACAAAGAATGTCACAATAGGCTACTCCGTGGCTACTCCCCAATCTTCCAAATATGGTGTTGGCCTAATCCGAAACATCTGCCTCTATTTCAAATAATTATCATCAGGGCTTGAATAGAGGCAGATGTTTTGGACTAGTATAGCCTGTCTTCATTAGTCTAAGGTGCGGAATAGTAGGACGTAAAATTCCATTCATTTCATTTCATTTTAGCTCAGTCAGTAGCAAATTGGATTGTCGTCTGCTAGGACAGTGGAATAGCTCAGTCAGTAGTGAGTTGAATGGTCGTCTGCTAGAAAAGTGAACTAGCTCAGTCAGTAGTGAGTTGGATTGTCGTCTGCTAGGACAGTGGAATAGCTCAGTCAGTAGTGAGTTGGATTGTCGTCTGCTAGGACAGTGGAATAGCTCAGTCCGTAGCAAATTTGATTGTCGTCTGCTAGGACAGTGGAATAGCTCAGTCCGTTGCAAGTTCGATTGTCGTCTGCTTGGACAGTGGAATAGCTCAGTCAGTAGCAAGTTGGATTGTCGTCTGCTTGGACAGTGGAATATTATATTATGTTAACTGTCATATCTTAAGTACGTGTCAAGTTATCAGTAATTTGTTTCCCACGTTTTTTACGACATAAATGGGTTGGGTTGTATCTTAATGAATTATCACAATTATCTGAAATGAATTGAAATATTCTAACAGATCATAACCTGACGCGTCTGATCAATGAAATTGGATTTTTTACCCCGTTAACCTACATCTTAACACGAATGTAAAAATATGTTGTTAGCCTACTCAAAGTTTCACACTAGGCGATCTTCAGACAACTAAAACAGATCCTGAAACATGTTGGTTTTCAAACTTTCTATATTGCTTTAAAATTAGTGTATTGAGTACTATTTTAACAGTGGTATTTCTATATTGCTCTACAATTGATGTATTGAGCACTATTTTAACAGTGGTATTTCTATATTGCTCTACAATTGATGTTTTGAGCACTATTTTAACAGTGATATTTCTATATCGCTCTACAATAAATTGATGTATTGAGCACTATTTTAACGGTGGTTTTCTATATCACTCTACAATTGATGTATTGAGCACTATTTTAACAGTGGTATTTCTATATTGCTCTACAATTGATGTATTGAGCACTATTTTAACAATGATATTTCTATATCGCTCTACAATAAATTGATGTATTGAGCACTATTTTAACGGTGGTTTTCTATATCACTCTACAATTGATGTATTGAGCACTATTTTAACAGTGGTATTTCTATATTGCTCTACAATTGATGTATTGAGCACTATTTTAACAATGATATTTCTATATCGCTCTACAATAAATTGATGTATTGAGCACTATTTTAACGGTGGTTTTCTATATCACTCTACAATTGATGTATTGAGCACTATTTTAACAGTGGTATTTCTATATTGCTCTACAATTGATGTATTGAGCACTATTTTAACAGTGATATTTCTATATCGCTCTACAATAAATTGATGTATTGGGCACTATTTTAACAGTGATATTTCTATATCGCTCTACAATTGATGTATTGAGCACTATTTTAACAATGATATTTCTATATCGCTCTACAATAAATTGATGTATTGAGCACTATTTTAACGGTGGTATTTCTATATTGCTCTACAATTGATATATTGAGTACTATTTTAACAGTGGTATTTCTATATCACTCTATAATTGATGTATTGAGCACTCTTTTAACAGTGGTATTTCTATATCGCTCTATAATTGATGTATTGAGTACTATTTAAACAGTGGTATTTCTATATCACTCAACATATGATGTATTGAGCACTATTTTAACAGGGGTATCTCTATATCGCTCTACAATTGATGTATTGAGCACTATTTTAACAGTGATATTTCTATATCGCTCTATAATTGATGTATTGAGTACTATTTAACAGTGGTATTACTATATCACTCTACAATTGATGTATTGGGCACTATTTTGATGTATTGGACACTATTTTAACAGTGGTATTTCTATATCACTCAACAATTGATGTATTGAGTACTATTTTAACATTGGTATTTCTATATTACTCTACAATTGATGTATTGAGTACTATTTTAACAGTGGTATTTCTATATTGCTCTTCAATTGATGTATTGAGTACTATTTTAACAGTGGTATTTCTATATCACTCTACAATTGATGTATTGAGCACTATTTTAACAGTGGTATTCTGACCGATTTATTAGCGCAAAACAAGCAGAAAAATGTAAAAATGCAGAAAACATGAAATAAATATGTTTCAAGTAGACTGCCATAATTATTACCAGTAGAACATTTCGGGGAGCCGATCGAGGCACTTGGACCTTGAGGGGAACTTTGGCTAATAGTGCCGCTAGCCGCCCGAGACTGGCGTACAAAAAGGGGTGAAGACTCTTATGGGGGACAACCATAGAGTTATAAATAGAACTAGAGTCCACACTTGTCTTATAGCCTATAACTCTATGGGGACAACTGTCGTTATCCAATCCTGAGTACGAATTAGACTAAAAAAATGTCATTGGGTACGTTCGAGTTTGTCAATATCAAGAGCATTCATTGTTATTTGGTTAATAATATCAAATAATATTATTATTCTGGGTTGTATGCAAATAATATCAAATCTCATGTAATTTTCTTTATAAATATTTACGTAATTTTTTCCAAATTTTAAATCTTATATTCTTATTTCGTATCTTTGTGTTAAAATTATACTAAATACTCCGAGCAATAACAAATAAAAAATGAGGTTTCAAGACGGTACAGGATAAATCGGTATTGAAAATATCTTATCAATTGACACGTATCGTCTTGTGTAAATACATATCGACATAATATAACACGTACAGATTTCCACGTTTCGTTCTACTTCTACCGGTGACTGAAAAAAGTACAAAAATGTCAGGAAATTTGATTTTAGTGACGGGCGGTGCTGGATATATTGGCAGCCATACTGTGATCGAGTTGATCGAAGCCGGTTATGATGTCGTCATTTTGGATAATTTGGTTAACAGCAGTTTTGAGAGTATCAAAAGAGTTGAAGAAATCACAAATCGAAAGATCACCACGTACAATGTCGACTTATTGGACGTTCCAGCCATCGAAGATGTCTTCCAAAAGCATCAATTCTTTGGAGTCATCCATTTTGCAGGTTTGAAGGCGGTGGGTGAATCGTGCAGACGACCATTGTCGTACTATAGAGTCAATGTGGGCGGGGCAATGAACCTTCTCAATGTCATGGAAAAAAATGGAATTCGAAACCTTGTATTCTCCAGTTCAGCTACGGTCTACGGCACCCCAAAATACTTACCATTGGATGAAAAACATCCAACAGGGGGCTGCACCAATCCTTACGGAAAAACAAAATTTGTCATCGAAGAAATCCTATCAGACATTTGTGCTGCAGACAACAATTGGAATGTTGTAGTGCTGCGATATTTTAATCCTGTGGGGTCACATGTTTCAGGAAAGATAGGAGAAGATCCACAAGGCATTCCGAACAATTTGATGCCATTCGTATCCCAAGTTGCAGTAGGAAAGAGACCAGAATTAAGTGTCTATGGTGACGACTATGACACCCCTGACGGAACTGGTGTCCGTGACTACATCCATGTAGTTGACCTTTCTCAAGGTCATGTAGCTGCCGTCAAGAGAATGGCCAGTAAATGTGGCTTTAAAACGTATAATCTGGGAACTGGCGTTGGATGTTCGGTTCTTGATATGGTCAAAGCTTTTGAAAAGGCGTCTGGTAAAAAAGTTCCGTATACAATTCAACCACGAAGACCAGGTGATGTTGGTAGTTGCTATGCATCGACGACTCTCGCAGCAGAAGACCTGGGATGGAAAGCGCAGAAAGATTTAAACGAAATGTGTGTAGATTTATGGCGATGGCAGTCGATGAATCCTAATGGATACAGAAGTTGAAAATAAATTAATCTAGAATTTTTCATTAAAGTGATAGGAATATAGTTTTAAAAATGGTGATCTGTATTTTCTAGCTTCAAACACCAATAATTTATTATATAATAATATGATATAATTATTGGTGTTTATAATGAAATATCCATGTATTTATAAACTAGAGAAATGTATATGGAAGTAGACAGAAAGGAGAATACAGTAATTTGTGATATGAACATAGTTTTAAATTGAAATGTTTTATTCATGATTGTATATTTGTCACAACCACATAATCGTTATTAAAAATGATTAAATTTTGATAATTAAAATTAGACCAAAACGTTTGTTCCATTATTTTTGATTAGCTTTTATTTTATATTTTTATTTTAGAGTCTCATGACAGCCCTCTTGAGCATTCATCAGATTCACCTTTTTAACCAATCAAATTTCAAAAGTCAATTGGTTTAATTTTAATTAAGACTGCAAAATAACTGTATGCCAAGTATATAGCAAGACATTGGGTGTTAAAATGAACCTTGGTGTCATATAAAATTATTTAAAGCTGGAAATATATTTAAATCAATCAATTCTCTATAAAAATAAGCTAGCAAATTTAAACTTTTATCGTAGTGGACTGTCTGATAATAACCCTTCAACTTTTCCTGTTGGGAATTTCTCTTATATTAAAGAAAGCAACTCCTTTTTACTAGAAATTTTTGGTCTTTTGAGTGAAATCCATGGGGCTGAAGATTGGTTGTAAATAGCAGATGTGTTTCTTTAATATTTGACAATAAATATCTATAAAGATGGATGAAAATAAGGGAACCCATCTTTAATATTTCATAATAAATATGTTTATTTGTTGATCTCTCTTACAAATGATATACTTAAAGCTTCAATTGATGAATAGCATGTTGCGAATCTTAGTCTATGTAATTCACCATTCATGTCATGGGTCAAGGTCAACTTTAATGTGGGGTGACCTTGACACTTGTTCTGAAAAGTGAAAACTGTATATAGATAAATATTGGAGTTGAATAAATATGGAAATATATTAAAGGGATTGTAAAGAGTTTTCTTAAATTTTTTATGTGTATCAGGGACACTGATAACTTCAATTTGTACCATTCCAATTTTCAATCAGATATCTGTGCTTACTGCAAATTCACTAAACTAAGTGTTTTATGAGGTCACTAATTGCAAAATATGCTTTTTCACACAGGGCCCTGTGTGATTAGTGACTACATCAAACACTTAGTTTTAGTGGAATTACAGTAACACAGACGTCTAATTGAAAATTGGAATGATGTAAATTGATGCTATCAGTGTCCCTGATACACATATTCTGTTTTTTTTTTTCATTTTGTAGTACTATTGTATAAAGTGATGTTTGTAACTATGTCTAATATATTTACTATTTGAAGGATGATAAGATCTTGGTTATTCACAATATTTGGACTGATAAATTCATGAATAAAAAGTAGTTTCTTATACCAATCCAAAGTAAGATGAAATATTTAATTGGGGTTAAAAAGGATATGCATGTACAAGTGGTTATTTATTTAGAGGTTATATTTTTGTGATAAAAAATGTAGAGAGCTTGGTTTTTTTTTTCTACAACTTCACCTTTAACAGGCCTGAGTGATCATTGGTCAGAATTAGACTAGAACATACCAAACTATGGTGTCTAACTAGCCAGTAGATTGTTTGGTACAATGACAGTTTTCTGTGGTCAAAATGAGACTAGAACATACCAAACTATCATGTCTAACTAGCTAGTAGATTGTTTGGTACAATGACAGTTTTCTGTGGTCAGAATGAGACTAGAACATACCAAACTATCCTGTATGTCTAACTAGCTAGTAGATTGCTTGGTACAATGACAGTTTTCTGTAGTCAGAATGAGACTAGAACATACCAAACTATCGTGTCTAACTAGCTAGTAGATTGCATGGTACAATGACAGTTTTCTGTAGTCAGAATGAGACTAGAGCATACCAAACTATCGTGTCTAACTAGCTAGTAGATTGTTTGGTACAATGACAGTTTTCTGTGGTCAGAATGAGACTAGAACATACCAAACTATCCTTTCTAACTAGCTAGTAGATTGTTTGGTACAATGACAGTTTTCTGTGGTCAGAATGAGACTAGAACATACCAAACTATGGTGTCTAACTAGCTAGTAGATTGCTTGGTACAATGACAGTTTTCTGTAGTCAGAATGAGACTAGAACATACCAAACTATCGTGTCTAACTAGCTAGTAGATTGCTTGGTACAATGACAGTTTTCTGTAGCCAGAATGAGACTAGAACATACCAAACTATCCTGTCTAACTAGCTAGTAGATTGCTTGGTACAATGACAGTTTTCTGTAGTCAGAATGAGACTAGAACATACCAAACTATCCTGTCTAACTAGCTAGTAGATTGTTTGGTACAATGACAGTTTTCTGTGGTCAGAATGAGACTAGAACATACCAAACTATCCTTTCTAACTAGCTAGTAGATTGTTTGGTACAATGACAGTTTTCTGTGGTCAGAATGAGACTAGAACATACCAAACTATCGTGTCTAACTAGCTAGTAGATTGCATGGTACAATGACAGTTTTCTGTAGTCAGAATGAGACTAGAGTATACCAAACTATCGTGTCTAACTAGCTAGTAGATTGCTTGGTACAATGACAGTTTTCTGTAGTCAGAATGAGACTAGAACATACCAAACTATCCTGTCTAACTAGCTAGTAGATTGCTTGGTACAATGACAGTTTTCTGTAGCCAGAATGAGACTAGAACATACCAAACTATCGTGTCTTACTAGCTAGTAGATTGCTTGGTACAATGGCAGCATTCGTATGGTCAGAATGAGACTAGTGCATACACAACAGGTAAGCAGTCATTTAGGCACAAAAATTTTGAGCATAAATCAGCAAGGCACAGTACTTCTTTTAGGGGCAGGTATTTTAGGCACAGGTCATATAGGCATATCTTCAATTAGGCACACTAATATTCGACACAGTGTCATTTCGGCGCATTGACTAAGGCACCTATGAAATTGATGAAGTCAAAAAAATGAAAAAAAAAATGAATACGTATACCTTCAAACCTACCCCCAGACAATTTCTCCACGTCTCCACGAGATTATAAACAAGGGCCACTAAGAGTACCAGGCCCGAAGCTAGAACCCCCCCCCCCCCTTTCCCCACCCCTCTAAGAAAATGATGCTCCTCTTCCTGAATGACTTGTTGAGCCTAGCTCGGGCTAAGTACGGGCCTGACGAATACTGAATATTAAGGAATAATACTGGATTGTCTCTCGGAGATTAAATACGTCTTTTGTTAGTTATATAGAAATTAAGAAAGGAGATTTTTTAAACTTTGATACGTGTGTATATAAAAGGGTTCATTGCGTTTCCAATTAACTTGTTTAAAGATCGTTTGATTTCGAATCAAAAAAGAAATTGTTTTTCGCGACCCTCTCGAGTTCCATCTCCCCATGACCAGTACAGATGTACTTAGTTAAACAACAGTAGTTTATTGATCGTGATCCCTGACAGTTGCCCATTGTCCCAAGTAGGTCTACTAACATCGCCTGAGAATACCAATATACACCAATGTAGGTGTCTTTTTTGAAATTTTTTAACAAACATTCAAAGCATAGTAGCGTGAGCTGGGATAGCTTGTCTACAATGTCGTATTTGATTATTTTTGTTATTTTCAGTAACGTCTCCCTATTCATTTTATTTCAAACTATCAAGGGAAATCTGTAATATTAGGACATGTACCGTATAAACACCTCTTTCACCGGATGTTTTGGACTTGTATACGAATGAGAGAGCACGGAGGTTAAACCCAGTGCAAGCTTTGTTCGTGGTGATACGCTTTGCTGTATATTTTGTATAGATTTTCAGTTGTTGGGCACTAGGATCTCGTATTCTAATTCATCTCACTGGAACCTTTTTTACTCAGCGAGAGATTAACATCGAATGGTGGACTCAATGTAACGTGCTAAGCGATTGGATGGTGTCGGTTCGAATCCTCCTGAAGATAAAATTAATCCGGATACCTGTGCCTGTTTTCGAGAGTAGGCAGGGTGTCGACTTTCAGTTTCACTCCCTCATTTCTGACGATATAACAAAGAGCGTAAAGCTGCGAATATATATAAGGTCGATACAAACGAAAAGAGAAAAAGTGTAAACACGAAGTACGGACACGATACGTTTCTACTGCAACGAAAATCCCACGTCAACCTTATTGGATTCGCACCTTTAATTTTAACAAATAGTAAGTCTAGCTCACTGGTTGATGAATTGACTGAGTCTTGTAGGCACGAGTTGCGCCCCTTATTTCATTATTATTTATTGTTTGACAAAACATCAGTAAATAAAGTCCTCATCGGTTTATAAGTCAGGGGTGGATAGTTCGTACCCTTACTTCATTTCTTAAAAAAAAATCAAAAATATGAAATAAAAAAATACATTTTAGACCACAAATATGTGTCAGTACCAAATCAATTCTATTTTTCCAGAATTTCTCCCCTCTCCCCATTCACCAGTAGTTACCACCCCCCTCCACCCAGTCAATGTATATAATATAGATATAAATATATAATACTCACCCTAGAGACATCACCATCTTTAATAATATTCCAATCTTTACCGTTCTAATTACTGAACAGGGTTAAAACAGTCTTGTCTCTTCACAAGACATGATATAATTTCTTCAGTCGGGTGTTTAAAACCTGAAAAAAACTTGAGGGGAGTGTGAAAGCCCAATTCGTGTGCAAGATATTTTTGGGGAGGTATCGGGTTGCAGGACATAAAAAGTCCTTTATGATAATATTTTTATATAATCATTGGTATAAATAAAAAAAAACAGTAGGTCTACCAGCAAGACATTTCTGTTAATCACAATCTTATCCAAAGTATGGAAAAATCAAGAGTAGAAATTGTATGGTAGTAGTAGTAATTTTTTATATTCGCCGAATTTATGTGTCCCGTATCACCTTTAAAATGAGTACCCGAATTAATGTTCGCTCGCAATTTAATAACATCGGACGTCAGCTAAATAGACCTTGTTGACATCATAACATATTTATAGGCTAGCAAGGGATTTCAACCTGGGGTACGGGAAAACCTAATGGTAAATAACGTAATAGTAAGGATTTATAGGAGATGGGGTGTTGGGGAGGGGGCTAGCCTAATGCAGTCGATTAAGGATACCGGAATAGGAATTAGAAAGAAAAAGACATTTTGTCAGGTCGCGCTGTATTTTTTGATGCACTCTAAGGAAACTTTAAATGCCGTCACTTGTGTCGTTTGTATTTCACACAATTGTAGACGAACTCAGTGCCAGATATTTCTTCTATAAATGGTATCTAACCCTTCTCTTTGTAAGAGACAATAGATAATGATAAGGCGACTCTTTGTTTATAATTTGAAGAGGAATCGCTTGTAAATTGTAAAGAAAGAAGAATAAAAACGTCCTCGCCAATATCCGTAAAAATGATTTAAATATATACGGTTGGTAGAAAGATAAAAGTTAACGGTCCGCTGATATCACAGACTAGAAAAAACAGGACATGCTCTCTTTAAATTGCCATGTGAAACATTTCATGTCATGTGACACACCACGTGATCGTAACTAAAAATGGAGAGAGGAAGATACACTGTCAATTTTTTAACCTGCGTTTGTTTACACAGAAACTTTACGAAGTTGTGACAAGACTTGAACCGTGTAACCCAAATGTTTAAAAGTTTTGACATTAGTGAATAAATTTCATATGTGTTAGATTCTAAAATAGCAATTTGAAGCCTCGAGAAGTTAATCAATATGTGTTCAAACGTAGGAAAATGATTTAATTTCTTTAATGATTATCGAAATACATGTATTTTCAAGCGTGCTCGACAAATATTAAACACAATTCTACGACACGGCAAGAAGCTCAAGAATATGTGTTTAATACAAGGAACTTAAAGAATAAGCTAATCGGATATATTTTCAAATGTGCTCTCCAAATATTGACACAATTTTAGGACACATGAGAAGTAGGCCTTGTATAGATAAGCTTATAAGATCTAGGTCAGTAGTGTTTGCAGGGCAATTCAATGAATATTCATTTTGACAGTCAGTCATTTAAAACAATTTTCAGAAGTGAAGTGAAATTTTAATCAATCATCATAAAATGAATACTTTTGATATAATCTCGAATTGTGAAAGTGTCGTGTCGGGCGGGCCTGCCACTGTCAGTGACAGTCATGAGACGTTAGTGCCGTGTGCAATAATTGAAAATGAACCCCAGCAGCATGAAGATATAAATGATTTTCTGATATCAACTTCACAAGAAGAAAGAAATGAAGTGGAGTTGCTGGATGTCTTACATATGACCATGAATAATCAATATGACAGCTTACCACGTGTTCGAGTCAATGAAACTATCAAATCTGTAAACTGTGAAGTATTAGATCACAACGGTTACTTTGAAAATGAAGTGGATTCTCTACCTACAGATGATTTAACTCACTTGCCTCAAGTCGAAGAAATTCATTGTCATTTCGGAAAAAAAATGTTGAAAGATAAAATTGCCAGAAATCAGCTGATAACCGTCGTGGTTTTATGTTTAACTTTTATGGCCGGTGAGGCTATAGGTAAGAAAAACTTTTTAACTTTGATTTAGGAAAAAGGCTTGTGTATTGACTCTCAAAAGCACTGGAAACGGCATCAGAAACTTTCTTTTTTATCATGAGGTGGATTCAGGCAGATGAAGGAATGGCACCTAATTTCTTAGCAAACATCAATCCAACTGACAGACTGAACAGTAAGCTCTGTAATAAGTTGAAGGAAGTAGAAAGTTCAAACCAGAATAACTCTCAATAACACTGGTTGAGTCTGTAAATATTTTCTTTGCCTTGAGGGGTTCACTTAATCTACTAACCCTCTAGCACAGAGATTTTCAACTTGAGGGTAATTTTGAAAGTCTTAGGGGGTAATAGGGCCTGTGGCCGAGGCAAGTTTATGTCCGAAGGGGGCGAAATATCTGAGATTGCCCTTACTTTCTAACCTAGTTATGATTTTTGCCTGAAAAACCTACCTCCCCCCCCCTGTCCCATTTTGGCTCTGCTACTGAAAAGTCAAGCATAAAAATTTCTGAACAACTAATATTTAAGTAATTCTATTCAGTCAGGCTATATTCTCCAACATTAAAAAGAGTTCAGGGAAAACCAGAAGAGAATATATCAGTAGCCTTAACAATAGTGAACACTGCTTTCATCCTGTGCCAGTGCTTTCTGTTGAATACTAAAAAGCATTATAGAATTGATCTATGAAATATTTGTCAAGTTTTAATTCTTGATTTAATATTTTTATCATTGATTAAAGAAAGACTTGATACAGCTGTTAATTTTCACAGTCAGAGTGACTTGACATAAACCTTACCATAGAGTACAGTATTATAGATACCTGTATATACCTTCATATACCTTTATATACAATACAATATGTTACCAGAATACATTCAAAATCTCACTAAATTTACAAAAGTACAAGTAGATACTTTGTTTGGTTTTTACTTCTGGGTCCTAGATTGAATACTACAGGACCCTGTTTCTCAAAATATCATAGATTAACGACTGAGCGTAAACGTTATACCTCAATGAATTAATAACGTCAAATATAACGTTTCTTCTTCACTTAACGTGCAAGTTTAGTCATACAGACTCTTGAGAAACGGGGTCCTGAATTTTTATAATCTAGTTTAAATGAAATTAGTACAGTAACAAACACAACTGTGATTCTAGAGCAGATATTTTCAATCTTTTTCCTTCTGTTACCCCTTCCAGGAATCGCATTACCCCCCCCCCCCCCCCTCCTCTATAAATCCTTAATATTTCCAGATTTTCTCTTAGGTTTTCTTTGCAATCTTTCCTATGTTGGAGAATATAGTCTGACTGAAAAGAAAGACTTGAATTATAAATTTCCCAAAATTTTATGCTAGACTACCTAGCGTCTTAGTAAACTCCAAAAATTTCAGCCTCAAATTGAAAACCCCTGTTCTAGAAGGAAGAACTGATATAAACTGTTAATCAACCGAGGGTGATCGTTTAACTGAATGAATCTAATCCAGATAAATACCAAATAAACAAGATTTGACCCTGTTTGACACAGAAATATGTGTACATTGTTTATTCTGGAGTCTAAATACCAATATTGTATCAGAGACAACATTCAACCCTCCTTTAACAATCTGATCATATAAAGGTTTATATTAGTCGTTAAAATATTATCTTTACTAGGTGTTACTGTGTCTCTTCAACACATCTAAACTATAACATATTTCTACCGTGTTTTATTCAGCAGGGAAACCCCATATTAGGGACCAAGATAATAAATATTCATTATATCCTTTGCTATAGTCTTATTAAAATAAAACCAAACTAGCGTTCTGTTTTATTCTAGCTTCTATTTTTAATTTAGCCACTTCAGTAAGGGTCTAATGACAGCCCTCTAGAAATATAAGTAGGCTATATAATTAGGTATCTAACCTAATTAAGGACAAAATCAAAAATTCTTTATTCTCTAGTTCCTTTAAAACAAGTGAATATGAGTCAAGAAGTATTTCAGGACTGGTGTCATTGCTATATACAGTATATTATATATCAGAGTATAACCTCCATTAATATTCGTTTCCTTGACAATTCATGTATCTTGATTGTATATTGTAGGCGGATTTTTAGCCAACAGTTTAGCATTATTCACAGACGTCCTTCACCTTGGTAGTGACCTAATTAGCTTCCTGATCAGCTTATTAGCGATATATCTATCCCAGAAACCACCAACCAGAAAAATGTCGTTCGGATATCACAGAGCAGGTAGGGAGTTGGTAGGTTTATTTTCATTTTAACAGTGTTTTGATTGGTTAACATGAATTCTGAAAATTTTTGATACTTTTTGGTTAAAATTCATTAGAACACGATTTAAGGATGTATTGTGTCAGATCATTAACAACAAGTGTTGTTACATGTTTAAAAAACATAAAAAAAAAATCCAGATTGGCATTTTAATCTGTTTGCTTGCTTTTTTCGATCATTTTAAAACAGTGCATAATGAAATATTGACAATACTGGCCAAAATCAAATTACAAAAATCACATGTAATTGAAATAGATCAGTAGTCGGAAGATCTGAGTAACAACATGTTTCAGGTTCTGTTTTAGTTCTCTGAAAATCGCACAGCGTGAAACTCTGAGTAACAACATGTTTCAGGTTTTATTTTAGTTCTCTGAAGATCTGTGTAACAACATGTTTCAGGTTCTGTTTTAGTTGTCTGAAAATCGCACAGCGTGAAACTCTGAGTAACAACATGTTTCAGGTTTTATTTTAGTTCTCTGAAGATCTGTGTAACAACATGTTTCAGGTTCTGTTTTAGTTGTCTGAAGATCGCACACCATGAAACTCTGAGTAACAACATGTTTCAGGTTCTGTCTTAGTTGTCTGAAGATCTGTGTAACAACATGTTTCAGGTTCTGTTTTAGTTTTCTGAAGATCACACACCGTGAAACTCTGAGTAACAACATGTTTCAGGTTCTGTTTTAGTTTTCTGAAGATCACACAGCGTGAAACTCTGTGTAACAGCATGTTTCAGGTTCTGTTTTAGTTGTCTGAAGATCACACAGCGTGAAACTCTGTGTAACAGCATGTTTCAGGTTCTGTTTAATTATTTCTAATTTATTTTTTTATTTGATATTTATAATTTAGTTTCATACTTTGGCAGGTTTTTCAAGACGGTTTGAATATTGATCTATTTATTTTCTATATTTATTGCCATAATTTAGTATTATATATCCCATTTCTTCCTTTTCATATCAAATCACAAATACAAGGCAATATTATAATATAAACACACTTCTTTAATCAAATATTAAACACATAACAACCACACGTGTAGTTTGTGTTGAAACATTATGTGTTTAATATTCTATTAAAGAAATGTGTTATATTCTATAATATTGTCTAGTATTTATGATTTGTACTCCTCACTTCTAAATATCCTTCAAGTGTAATATTTGAGTTTAATATCAATAATAAATTATCAAAATAACATAATAATCTTATACTATCATAGTTTATTACATGTTACAATTGTTTTTATTGTTTTTAAAACATGACTAGATGTATTTTATAATAAAATAATGGTTGTTTTTGTTGGAAGTAAAATAATAAAAACCAGATGTGACAGACATTGAAATAAAGTAAATCGTAAAACAGAGATTTATTGTCTCTTTTAAAGTCAATGGACATTTTACAAATTATATTTCCTTTTTCCTCAAAACTGATTTTTCTTGCACAACAAATTTGATGTTTTATCTGAATGTTTTGCTGTTTGTTAGGGTAGTAAAATACAGCCAATCTATCACAACAACTAGTCAATTGGAAGTAAAATATTGTACCAAATAATCATAAATACACGTAATATTAATTATAAAATTACATGTAATGAAACAAAACCAATGTTTGAGGAATGTTTGGTGACGTTAATGTTATTGGTCAGAGCTGTTAAAACAGTAGATACTATTAAAACATGGAGCACAGTCAGTAACAGTAGACAATACTTCAATGAAATTAAAATCTTAACAAACAAGACAATTCTGTTAATCAAAATCTCATCCAAAGTATAGCAAATTGAAGATTAAAAGTTGTATAGTAGTGGACTCCTCCATAGGGAAGTAACAGATGTATCATTCTCATTTCCTATCTAATATCTGTAGCAGGTATTATGAGGAGCAGGCTATTAATGGGATTGAAAAGAGTTTTTTTTAGATTTTTTATGTGTTTTTGGTTCTTGCAAATCCATTAAAACTAAGAGTTTGATTGCGAAGGGTCTTATGTAATACAAGCATATTTTACAATTAGTGACGTCATAAAGCAGTTAGTTTTAGTGGAATTGCAGGAACCACAGATACTCTCAATGTCCCTGAAAAATTAAACCACCTCTTTACAATCCCTTTAAAATCTAGATAACGTGGGTCAGAGTCCGGTAACAGTAGAGATAGATAATGGCCAAGGTTAAAATCAACTTGAACTATTCATAGTGTCATTTATTGTAAATAAACAGAAATATTTCATTACATGACTTCTAGTGGTTTCCCCACCATAGTGTCACAGCCCCTTATTATACCCCACCCTAGTTTTAGCCACAATGTAGGTTTTGATAATAAGGGTTCAGTTTTCTATCAGCTGATAAAGTTAATCTTGATGCTTCAGATTTAAATATAAAAATTGAAAAATGTCGAAACTTTGAGTACTCCAACCCTCTGGCTAATCCGACATTGTTTTGCGGTCCCAGTGTATGTTGGAGTTTACTGTTGTTTGCAATTCACTTTAGTAGTACAAGATACTCTGACTAAATATCGGAAGGTATCAACTTGACCTATGCCGAGATTGAACCCTGGACCTTCAGGTTAGGGAGCAAGCTTCTATCTCACAAAGTCTCTGGTGCTTCTTTTTACCTGCTATAGTGAAAGTTTCTAGGGTTAGGGTTAGGGTTAGGGTTAACCCTAACCCTAACCCTGCTATAGTGAAAGTTTCTAGTGTGGTGTAGGGTCGATTACTTAAAAGGTGTTAGAAAATCAATGAAGTGAGATTTATAAAGAGAGTATTAAGAGAACAATATCCTTTGAAAGAAGACGATATTCAAGTCTGTATTTCACTCTTTATCAGATTTGACTTTTAAAAACTGACAACTTCCAAAAAAAACTGACTTTTCAAATTACAAAATAAATATGCAAGATCATGGTTGACGTATAGAAAGTTTATAAAAACAGCTCTTCCTGTACGCCATTATATTGTCAAAAATAAACAGAAAAAAGTTTTAAAAATATCATAAAAAAGTTTTATTTAGTTTAGCGAGGAAGGTAGTTGTCACAAAATAGATTTTATAAAAAAACTGGTTGAAAACATTTTCTTAAATTAATTGAGGTTTTTTATCATATATTTCTGCTCCTGCTAGGGTGTACGAAAAGACGCCTTGCACTCTACCATAATGTCATTTCAGGAAATCTTTCAGTCTTAAATAGCTTACATTCCTTGATAACTCAAAATTTTCTCTTAGGACTGTCTTCGACAGATTACCCAGTGTGCACCAGAAGCCAGAATTAATAAAAACTTCTAAATTTCTTTTCTTTTCTGATGGAAATACTTTTTGATAAACTCATTATTTTATATTATGAAAATATTGAATACTCTAGATCTAGACCAGTAGTTTTCAACTTGTTTTTGTATGTGTCCCCAAACCGAAACAGCATGAAAATGATGTCCCCAGATATCAAAAGTGTATCTATGATTGGATACCAGACACGTTCTCGTATAGTTTAATAGTAATAATTCTCTGAGTACTCCTAGACAATGTTAATTTAGACTGTGTATAGTGTAGTCATCATATGAGATGTTGTATATATTGTAGTTGGAAAGTTTTTATTTTTAACAGCATGTAACTGGCTGTGACACATCAAATGTCCCCAAGTACAATGTCCCTACCTTGGAACATGTGCCTGTGGTTGAAAACCTACAATCTAGATGGATGATCTAAAGCAGCAATCAAATTTTGTTCACAAGCTTGTATATTTCCACCATGTTATTATTAAATTTTTTTTTTATTTTTACAGAAGTATTGGGTGGTCTGGTTTCTTTTTTATCTGATGACTTCAAACAAAGAGTTTGATGATGTCACTAATCGCGAAGGACCTTATGTATTACACGCATATTTTGCAGGAACCACTGACATCAAGAGGGGAACTGCATAGATGTTAATAGTAGCTTCTGGTAGTTACCCTCTAATGATGTCTGATTGAAAATTGAAATGGTTAAAATTGATGCTATCAGTGTCCCTGATATACATGATATATAATTTCTATATGTAATTATTAAATTGTTTGTATATTATAGAAGTATTAGGTGCGTTGATTAGTGTTATAATTATATGGTTAGTATCAGCTATATTGTGTTATATTGCCGTGGAGAGAATCGTACACGAACATTATAAAGATGTCAAAGCCGACGAGATGTTGATTACCGCAAGTTTAGGGGTCGTCTTCAATCTAATGTGAGTATTTATATAAATAAGATGTCTTGACTATAGCTGTCTGACATCTGTCAAAAACAATGCCAGAGACTGCAAGATGAGATGATTCAGTGAGTAAGTAATCTGAAGGTCCAGGGTTCAATCAAAGGTCAAGATAATACCTTTGAATTTTTTAACCGATTTCCCCCTGTCAGTGTTGCAGGTAAAAGGGGCTGACATGAAAAAAGTGTCTAGTCGTTTGAATGGGACAATAGACCGAGGTGTATTCTACAGCCCTGTAAAGATTGTAAAGAGGTTTTCAAAATTTTGTATGCTTATCAGGGACACTGATAGCATCAATTTACACCATTCCATTTTCTAGCAATTCTACTAAAACTAATATCTTATGTATATACAAGCAAATTTTGCAGAGTTGACGTCATAAAACACTTAGTTTTTGTGGAATTGCAGGAACCACAGACATCTGATTGAAATTGGAATGGTGCAAATTGATGCTATCAGTGTCCCTGATACACATACAAAATTTAGAAAACCTCTTTACAATCTCTTTAAAGATCCCTGACAGTTGGAAATCAATGTAAGAGATGTGCGGATTGTTGCCCGACATCTTCATTGACACAATATCCCTCATTGCGCACTGCTTTGTACAGGAAAAAAGACTTGGCAAGTTTAGGTATTGTCTTTGATAGTTAGTTATATTGTTACAGTCATTGTTTTTATGGCTCTCGCTGGCCGACAATTATTGAAATCCTGATAGAAGCAAAGTAATAGTCAGCAAATTTTTTAACAATGCGAGAACATAAAGTGTATTAATATTATGAATATTGACCAGGACACCTGTCATTCCTAGAGTTTATCAATATTTATTAAATAACTACCTCTGATATATATCAACACACAATATCAATTATATTGTTTCTATTACTGTTATTAATACACTGTATTGATAAACTATAAGAATATTGATAAATCTTATATAAATAGTTTTTATTACTTGAAGAATTAATAACTCAGTTTTATAGAGAACAATAACTTTGATATGAAATAACTGGACTTATTTTAAAATTGTACTCTTATATATTTCTATAAGCTTTGCGCAGTGGCGGTACCATAGCCATTGAGGAATTTCCAAGGCGTGGTTATTGCTAGTTGAAAAACTATACTTAAGAAATATTGATAAACCTAATACCTATACCTTGACTTATTTAACTGTAGAATTAATAACTCACTACTCTGAAAATAACAAGTTTTAGAAATAACTAACTGGTCACAATTACTTCAATAAATAGCTTTCAACCTAGCTACAACCATACTCTCCTTGTTTTAATTATATTATATTGAGAGATTATAAAGTTGTAATAGTGATGAATATAATTCAAAATACAGTCAAAAAAAATACGAAATACAATATTATGCAAAAAGATACTACCTCTTAGAAAGGATATGAAATTTAAAGCCTCAAACTTGGTCAACAAGAGTATATATTCATCAGTTAGACTTACCAGGTGTCATGACTATACAATAGAATCTCTATATAACACGATATATCCATTAAACT